CACTGCTACACTGCTACACTGCTACTGCTACTGCTACTGCTACTGCTACTGCTACTGCTACTGCTAGTAATAATACAGTAGCAGGCGACGCACTCTCATATAGACCAAAAAAAAGACTGTTTTCCTGCTTGCGCGACCAAGGAGGAACCAGATATGAACCTGACCTTTTTTTCCCCTCTACCCTTTGGAGTGTGAGGTTCTGCGATCCCAAATTGAGGCTGCAGGAGTCGCCAGAAAAATTGAACGGGCCATTGAACCGCGCGTGCTGCTTCAACATCTCGAGTCTAATGCTCGCCGTGAGCCGATGCCTGAAAACATCGTAAGCAAAAAAAGGCTCCCTCTGATCCTATCAACAACCCAGCCGCTGATCTCCAAATCCAGGTAGCCGAGCACCTTCCTGGAAGGTTGATTTGCTGTTTGGGCTTGGCGGCTAATACGGATTCTTGCTGAGTAAGCGCCCCGTCGCATCGTGAGGAATGTCCGTCTTCGTGACATGAAGAAGGCGGCAGAGGAACAGTTTGCGAAGGGGGTCTTTAGTATTAGTAACGACAGCACACCAAGGCAAACAGCAGCAGTGCACTGGTGGCAGTACTCATAGCGGTTGCCGTCGTCGTCCTCTTCATCGAAGTAGCAGCAGCAGTAGCAGTAAGAGTTCGATGCCGCTGCCATTGCTGCTGCGGTTGCTGCTGCTGCTGGCATCGCTGCGGCTTTTGATTCATCTATTGCTGCTAGTGCTGCTACTGCTGCTGCTGTTATCGCGGCTGCGCTTGCAGCTGCTATTGCTGATACTGCTGCTGATACTGCTGCTGCTGCTGCTGCTGCTGCTGCTGCTGCTGCTGCTGCTGCTGCTGCTGCTGCTGGTGCTGCTATCGCCGCTGCCGCTACTTTTGGGTGCAGCTGCTACTGGTGATGACGTTGTTGCTGGTGCTACTGCTGCCCTTGTTGTTGCATTTGCTGCTGCTGCTGCTGCTGCTGCTGCTGCTGCTGCTGCTGCTGCTGCTGCTGCTGCCATGATGCTGCTGTTCTTCTTGGTCTCCTTCTTCCTTTATTAGTCTTCGTCTTCTCTTCGTAGTCGTCGTCGTTCTTCGCAACATCTGCTACATGAACCATATATAGGTGGAACATGTGTGGGATGCTACTCTTGTGACAAGTCTCAGGTTTAGGGCAGGATCCACAGAGTTTACGCAGTTCAGTAGTTTTGCTTTGCCGACTTGTGCCACTGCCTGCTGACCTGCCAAGGAACCTCAATAAGTCCAAAGTCCAAGGCCCCTTCTTCCAGCCCAAAAACCTTACCCGACCCATGAACCTATACCCTCAACCCTAAGCCCAGGCAAAGTCTCCGAAGGATCGATGTTGATCGGGGCATCTGCCACCAAGGCGACAAAGCCCTGTGCCTCCTTCAATGAAAGGAAAAATGCTGGTGGAATTCCTTAACGGATTAGTAGAAAAAGAAAATGTAGATTAAACATACGAGTATGACAAAGAAAAGTGGAAATAGAAAACGAAAGACAAAGAATCTCTTAATTCAATGTTAGATTGTACATATAATGTCCTCCCAAGCCGTTCTATTAAAGATGGAAATGAAAATATTGAAATTGTAATTACTGTGACCCCTCATAAACAAATATATGTCCTAAAGGTCAAACATAACCCATAAATGCTGTTCTCACTAATAAGGAGTAAACAACAGTTCCCTGGAAGCACGACCCCGAAACCGCCTTCGAAAGCAGGCAGAAGAATCAGCATTGCAATCGGGGATGGTGACCACTCGATTTACTTCGCCCAATATTTCCTTCTGTCATTGTAGTGTCCTGTCCGAGGTTGGCACACAAAGCGTTGTTGGGCCTTTCTCTTCTTTAAAAATCGAGTGGGGGGGGGGGGGGGGGGGGGGAGGGGCGGCCTTGCCAAGCATCACCTGTCAGCCCCTGAGGCTCCATAATCACAACTTCCAAACCCCATCACGACCGTCCCAGGGCACCGGGAGCGCAGATGGCAAAGCTGTCATTACGATGCCGCCGGGCTTGATCTTCCCCAAGCCTGAAGAAGCATTGGGTTTCCACTCTCAAAGTCGTTAATCCCGGCGAGGTGCTTGAGTGGCGAGGTGTGAACCGGAGCAAGTTGTAACTAGCCATAGTCCTATGAACAGCTGCTTACCATCTTTGTCCTGCGCACAGATTCGGTAGGAAGATCCTTGCGGACACTCCTACCTGATCACTTCCCCATACCCAACGCAAACATGGCTACGAATTGCTTAGCTCAAGGGTGAAAACATAGGACCAGGCTTGCACAACAGGTTTCGGTGTTTTCGACTCGCACGCTCGCACAGGTGTCTTAGGGTTCAGGGTTGAAGTGCGGACAAGCATCGGCTTTACCCAAGATATGACATGACTGATCGTCGCTGGTGTGTTATGCAGGGGGCGGGTGCTCATTATCCAGTCGCCGGCGTTCCTGGGCCTGGTTCCTTCTGTGATCTTCTCCAAGTCCGAAGGAGGTGGTAAGATACATCTCTCTGCTTAAATTGCACGCGTGTCAAGCACACGGTCGCAGATCTCCCGGTGCGCTCGGCGTTCGTGACCCAGTAGCCCAACTGATGAAACTGAATCTGAATCGGCTTTGGAGCTTGAACGCTGTGTCCACGCTCTTATGAACCCGCATTTGCGTTGCTCCAAATAAGGAATCATAAGAAGCCAGAATGCGCGAACGGAACCCCACCTAGCTGTTCGTAATTCGTACCAACGAGGGTGGCATCAATGTAAATTGATTTCGAGTATTTGCAATGTTGCTCGAGAACTTCGAACCATGCGAAAACCCACGCTAACTCTGTGCAAAGAAGCACGGCGCAGGCGGGATCAACACCTGCGAGAAACGATCGCAGGTTTGAGCTGTCTACTGGGACATGCAAGCATGTTGCATCGCATTGGCACGTGGTTGAATTCTGCGCTAAACCACGCCCTTAATTACCCGACGTCATACAAGAGCATCTCACCTAAGATTATGCCATTGCCAAGGTTTCTGACCGATCCATTGCTGTGGCAAAAGCCTGAAGCTCTGCAATCCCGACATGGCACAGGTTTGCGGTCTCTTGATGATGTGGTGCGATTCCCGTGCATCCGACCCATGGGGTCCAAAAGCCTTATATAGAGCCTACACACCGTTCACAATAGCTGAATAAGACCACATAACACCATGACACAAACAAGAGCAAGGTGCTGCTTAGCCTGCATGATGCTTGCCAGGTTGCTGGTTCGAGCTCGGTGTCCGTAAAACTGATCGGAAGGAACGGCATGAACGAGGCCTTGGCTACTCGAGATCCGTCGAACCTGCTGCAACCGGAAACGGACGCGAGCAAGCAGGCGCTCTGCCTTCGGTTCTGGTTCTGGATTGTAGATTGCAAGGATGAAACCGTGCCGCGCAGTTGCTGCATGTAAAGAAACCTTCAGGGCCGAGCTGTGGCACAATGTGCATCCAAGAGGCGTTGTGACAACAAGGCCCGAATGGTGGGATCGCCATGATTGGGGCCTTCACGGGCCAGCTCTTGTTCGAGGAATAGCAACATACCCATTGAGACGAGCACGGATTTTGAAAACTGTCTCGGGCTGGCCCCTGATTTGGCCGCCGTATCTTGCGCGAGGTTTCACGAAACACTCCTGTTAAAAGAAAGGAGCCCAATGAACCCCCAAAGGTTCAGGATGAGTTTTGTGAACGCTACGATGCCGAATGGTATTGGCTCAATACTGGACAAAAGACTGGCGTGGTCGCACAAAGGAATGTCTGCGTGAGTGTGTATCATTGGGGAAAGAGACTGATCTCGGTTGGTTGTGATTGTTAGGATTGTACCTTTGACTCCTTTGACTTTCACATGATAGCGGAGCTTCGGCTCTGGAGACAGGGAAAGAGTGAAAGAGAATGGGGAACAAGAGGGATTGGCGGAGATATCAAACTGTTCCCTCCTCCCGCCTACCACGGCGGGTTGGGGAAAATGGGAGGACTGGTCATGGCAGCTGAAGCGATATGTCGGACTGTACAAGCCGATTGCAAAGCTGATGACGGATGAC